CCTCCGGGAGTTGTCGCTGCTGTCGTGTGGGCGGGTGTCCGCACCCTCAGCGCCGCCCTTGTGCCGAGCGGCTTGCAGGGTAACAGCCTCCTTTTGCTGACAAGGTGACCTCAGGGCAATAAAGATTATAAAGATTACGGTGTTTTATCCCTTTTAAAGAAATTTCTTTTTCATTTTTTCCTTCTTTTTTTTTTTTTTTTCGGGTCAGTGTTTCCGTTTTACGAAGGTGAGTGCCCTCACCCTCCTGTCAGGCCTGAGCCAGAGCAAGCAGGCACCCAGATTGAAGCTGCAGATGGATTCTGCAGCCAGCAGTGGAGGAGGAAAACGCGCTGAGGGAGGGCAGAGACGCCTCTGGAACAGAAGTATGGATGTGTGAACTGGCCCTGGAGTCTGGCTGACTGGGGTTCAAACTAAACTTGCGAATAAACACTGTGTTAGATTTCACACAGATTTGTCTCCTTCACCTGTGGCATCCGTCCATTCATTATCCATGCTTTTTCTAGTATCTGGGAGATGCTGGGATGGATTTGGGATAGAAGGAGGTGCAGCTGTGTTGTGGAACCTTGGCACCTTCTACAGGGTCTTTTCAGAGTTTAGCCAGCATTTCAGCTGCTAAAGGGCAATAGTTACAAAACAGGGCCCTCAGACTGTCTTACAGAAAAGACACCCTCTTGTGGAGTTACTGCCTGCTGATTTCATCATCCTGTACTCTTTCCCCATGTTTACAGGATGAGATTTTAGATGAGAATGCCAGATGAGACCTAGAGGTCAAAACACCCATTTGCCTTAATTATAGCTGGAGTTCTAATTTTTGGTGTTCAGTACTGTGATTAAGGCCACATTTGCATCTAAATTAATACTCGGTTGACAGCTATGGCAAGTCACAAACACGTCAGGAGGACCCTTCTTATTCTTTTAGATGTGGACTAGTACATTGGATGTAGACAAATGCATTAGTTAGGCTCTTGTTCCTTCTGTGCTCTGTCTGGTCTATTAATGACTTAGAAAATGTGTGCTGTGGATTAAGCTTTCCGAGTTGGTGACAAACCTTAAATCGAGGTAAGTTACAAGTATAAGTGCAGCAAGTCATTGCGAAGGACAAGAAATGAGATGGTGTATCACATATAGCAGCTGGCACTCAAAGTCACAGAACTGTTGGGGCTGGAAGGAACCTGTGGGGATCATCTAGTCCAATCCCCTTGCCAAGGCAGATTTGCCTGAAACAGGTGACACAGGAACAAATCCAGGTGGGTTTTTCAGAGAGGGAGACTCCAGACACATCCTGGGCAGTCTGTTCCACTGCTCTGTCTCCCTCAACATAAAGAAGATCTTTCTCAAGCTGAGGTGAAACTTCTTGTATTTTAGTTTATGGTTGTAAAAGAGAAACATTCATGCCTCCTTTGACATAAAGATTTCTAAAGGGCATTGAGGTGCTGCAGCATGTACAGAGAAGGGCAACAAAGCTGGTGAAGGATCTGGAGTGCATGTCCTATGAGCAGTGGCTGAGACAGCTGAGGTTGTTTAGCCTGGAAAAGAGGAGCTCAGGAGAGACCTCATCACTCTCCACACCTGCCTCAAAGGAGTCTGTGGCCTCTTCTCCTGATGGGGCCTCTTCTCCTGATGTGACTGCCAGTGACAGGATGAGAGGAAATGGCCTTAAACTGTGCCAGGGAAGATTCAGGTTGGACATCAGGAAGAATTTCATCATGGAAGGGGTTGTTAAGCATTGGAATAGGTGGTCCAGGGAAGCGTGGAGTCAGTGTTCCTGAGGATGTTCAATAAAATTCTGTGTGTGGCACTCAGTGCCGTGGTCTGGTTGTTACACACTGGTGTTTGGTCAGAGGTTGGACTCGATGCTCTCAGAGGTCTTTTCCAGCCTCATTAATCTGTGATTCTTTGGCTCCCTAATTCAAACTCAGTCCATTCTAGTTTCCCATAGCTAGACATGATCAGACCCTTATCCTTCCTTCAAGTGTCAAATCTTATTTCATCTGCTGCATTTAGGTAAATTTTTCCACATTCAACCTTTTTATAGGATGTCATGCATCTTCCATTTTTTGCTCCTTAAGTAGTTATTCTTTGGAATTCTCTGATATTTTCTTAAGAATAAAATGCACCAAAGAAATCTTAGATGAGCTACATAAATGTTTAAGTGGCTTTAAAACATGGTATTTGTCAGAACAGGTATTTTGGAGCCCCCATATATTTAAGAACAAGGCATTTTAAAGTGTGCATAAAATCATTTCCCAAAACAGACTAAGCTAAAGGAGCAAAAGCTGCTTTCAGTAACAGCACTTTAACTTAGTTACATATTTGGTCAGCACAATTAAGCTGGTTAGTGCTGTGACTACTGTACTGTGTCTCTGCCAGTAAGACTGAATTCTTTCTTCAGAAATTTGAGGCCCACATGAAAAATGAGAAGACATATAAAGAAAATTATTGAGGATCAAACTTAATTTAAAGGTTTTCTTTTATTACTGACAAAGATGTTGTGTGTATAATTCAGAAGTAGACATGTAAAAATATATCTCTTCAATAAGCTCTGCAGAATAATTTTTAATGGAGAGAATGTAAGATTCTAGTTATGGATAGATTTCATTAAGGGATTTAATGCAGTTTTTTACAATATTAATTCAAATTGGCTTTTATCCAAATGCTGATTGAGGGATTGAAATGTTTGAGGAAATATGATGATTTATGGCATTACATTAAGATTTATGACAGAAATGTATAGTGGTGCATCACAAAGAAAATATGAGATTTTTTTATAGGATAAGAGTAAGAATAGTGCTGAGCAACTGATACTCAAAGATATGGGTTTGACTGGTGACCATGAAAACTAATTCCTTTTCTTATCACCCTTGTCACCATCATTTCAGTTCCAAAATAAAGTGTGGGTCCCTCTGTCTAGAAGTTCATGCAAGTGCCTGTGCCTGAGGATACCAGGTCCACTTCTGAAGGTGTGCAACCATGGCTCAGAATTCTGAGGAAAATGCTAAGTTGCAGGAGAAAATAAATAGCTGTCAGAAGGTCTAAAGAGGAGATTCATGTGAGATGAGAAAGGTGAAATTTCAGACAAGGTAAGACAAGGGAAAGCACTGACATAGGCAAGTATAAAATCATCAAGAAAATGCAGTGTCAGAGGGAGGTATGACTGTGCCTGTGCTCCAGGGAGCTGTAGGAGCTGCCCTTTCTCCTTCCTGACTTTTGCCTGCCTGACTAGCAGAGATTTTGCTTGTGTCTTGTAAAGGGTGGTGAGCACATTCATACCTAACCTAGTAGTGATCATTTGGGTGTGATAACCAACAAATAATTTTTAAACTACTGAGTATGCCCTGCTCACAGAATCACTTTGTGCTTGGCGAAGGTGTTCAAACAGGAACACAAAGAGGCATGATTACAGGACACCAAAGTTGACAGTTAAAGCATTTGTGGGAATTTTACGCCCAAGAATTCAGTTCAAAAGAAAATATGTGCTCCCAGATTAAAAAAAAATGACCAAAAATAAAATGGTTTTGGAGGGAGACTGGTGACACTTGATCCAGCCAAGCAGTCAAGAAACTTTCAAAAAGCAACCAAACAAATGAAACCACAAAACAAAACAGAGGTTCAATATTGCCAAGGGATTCATTGGGGAAAAATAATCAATTAAAAACTTCAGGGAATCATTATAAATATGCAAATATGAAGCATATTTTTGTCAT